ATTATGTTGATGGATTTTTCAAATGTTGTACCATCCCTGGGATGAATCCCTCTTGTCCATGTTGTATGGTCCTTTTGATGTATTTTTGAATTCCTTTTGCTAATATTTTGTTGACTATTTTCACATCTACATTCATTTTGAATATTGGTTGGTAATTTTCTTTTTTGGTGGGGTCTTTGCCTGGTTTCAGTATTAGGGTGAAGTTGGCTTCATAGAATGAGTTTGGGAGTCTTTCCTCTTCTGTTTTTCTTGAAAACTAAGGAGAATGTGTGTTACATTTCTCTGAATGTCTGATAAAATTCTGAGGTAAATCCATCTGGCCCAGGCGTTTTGTTCCTGGATAGTTTTTTGATTACCTCTTCAGTTTCTTTACTGGTAATGGGTTTGTTTAGATTTTGTGTTTCTTCCTTGGTCAGTCTTGGAATGTTGTACATTTCTAAGCACTTGTCCATTTCTTGTAGGTTTTCCAGCTTGTTAACCTGTAGGTTTTCATAGTATTCTCTAATAATTCTTTGTATTTCTGTGGAGTCTGTCATGATGTTTCCTTTCTCATTTTTTATTCTGATGACATGTGTTGACTCTTTTTCTCTTAATAAGTCTGGCAAAAGACTTATGTTTTTTGTTTATTTTCTCAAAGAAGCAGCTCTTGGTTTCATTGATTTTTTTCTATTTTATTCTTCTCTATTTTATTCATTTCATTTCTGATCTTTATTTTGTCCCTCCTTCTGCTGACTTTAGGCCTCATTTATTATTTTTCCAATTTTGATAATTGTGACATTGGACTATTCATTTGGGATTGTTCTTCCTTCTTTAAGTAAGCCTGGATTGCTATATACTTTATTCTTAAGACTGCTTTTGCTGCGTCCCACATATGTTGGGGCTTTGTGTTGTTGTCATTTGTTTCCATTTATTTCTTGATCTCTATTTTATTTTTGTCGTTGATCCATTGACTGTTTAGAAGTGTGTTGTTAAGCCTCCATGTGTTTGTGAGCCTTTTTGCTTTCTTTGTACAATTTCTAGTTTTATACCTTTGTGGTCTGAAAAGTTGGTTGGTAGAATTTCAGTCTTTTTGAATTTACTGAGGCTCTTTTTGTGGCCTAGTATGTGGTCTATTCTAGACAGTGTTCCATGTGCACTTGAAAAGAATGTGTATCCTGTTGCTTTTGGATGTATAGTTCTATAGATGTCTATTAGGTCCATTTGTTCTAGTGTGTTGTTCAGTGCCTCTGTGTCCTTACTAATTTTTTGTCTGGCAGATCTATCGTTTGTAGTCAGTTGTGTGTTGAAGTCTACTAAAATGAATGCATTGCATTCTATTTCTTTTAGGTCTTTAGTATTTGTTTCACATATGCTGGTACTCCTGTATTGGGGGCATATATATTTATAATGGTTATATCCTCTTGTTGGACTGAGCACTTTATCATTATGTAATGTCCTTCTTTATCTCTTGTTGCTTTCTTTGTTTTGAAATCTATTTTGTCTGATATTAGTACTGAAACACCTGGTTTTTTTCCCTGTTGTTTGCATGGTATATCTTTTTCCATCCCTTGACTTTTAGTCTGTGCATGTCTTTGGGTTTGAGGTGATTTTCTTGTAATCAGCATATAGATGGGTCTTGCTTTTTTGTCCATTCTATTACTCTGTGTCTTTTGATTGGTGCATTCAGTCCATTTACATTTAGGATGATTATTGAAAGAGATGTACTTACTACCATTGTAGGCTTTAGATTCATGGTTACCAACGATTCAAGGTTATCTTTAGTATCTTAACGCCTAACTTAACCCGCTTATTGAGCTTTTATAGATACTGTCTGGTGAGTCTTTATTTCTCTCTCTTCTTATTCCTCCTCCTCTGTTCTTTATATGTTGGGTGTTTTATTTGGTGCTCTTTTGTGTTTTCTTTAACTGCTTTTATGGGTAGTTGATTTTATTTTTGGACTTTGGTTAGTATTTGGTTGGTCTACTTTCTTTGCTGTGATTTTATTTTCTCTGGTGATACCTGTATAGCCTTTGGAGTGCTTCCACCTACAGCAGTCCCTCTAAAATACCCTGTAGAGATGGTTTGTGTGAGGCAGATTCCCTGAAGTTTTGTTTGACTGGTAATTGTTTAATCCCTCCTTCATATTTAAATGATAATCGTGCTCGATACAATATCCTTGGTTCAAGTCCCTTCTGTTTCATTGCATTAAATATATCATGCCATTCTCTTCTGGCCTGTAAGGTTTGTGTTGAGAAGTCTGATAATAGCCTGATGGGTTTTCCTTTGTAGGTGACTTTTTCCTCTCTCTAACTGCCTTTAAAACTCTGTCCTTGCCATTGATCTTTGTGTTTTTTATTATGTGTCTTGATATTGTCTGTTGTCCTTGGGTCCCTTTTGTTTGGAGTTCTGTGTACCTCCGTGGTCTGAGTGATTATTTCCTCCCCCAGTTTTGGGATGTTTTCAGCAATTATTTTTTCAAAGACACTTTCTATCCTTTTTCCTTTTCTTCTGGTACCCATTTAATGTGGATATTGTTCCTTTTGGATTGGTCACACAGTTCTCTTGATATTGTTTCATTCCTGGAGATTCTTTTATCTCTCCCTGTGTCAGCTTGTATGCATTCCTGTTCTGTGGTTTCTATTCCATCAATGTCCTCTTGCTTATTATCTGTTCTGCATTTAAATCCTTCCAGATTGTTTTATTTCTGTAGTCTCCCTCCCTACTTTGTCCATTAGCTCTTGGATTTTTCTCTCAGCTCCATTAGCATGATTATGACCTTTATTTTGAATTCTTTTTCAGGGCGATTGGTTAGGTCTATCTCTCCCATCTGCTTGTCAGGTGTTGTCTCTGTTATTTTGGTCTGGATCAAATTCTTCTGCCTTTTCATGATGATAGACGTAGTTGTGCAGATCTGGCACATGTTTCATCTAGTAGAACATCCCTTCTTGCTTGTTTTTGGCCTTCCTTTCTTGGGAGAATGGCGATCTTAAGTACTTGTGCCTGGCAGCTGCATGCTGACAGGATCTCTGATTCTTGCCCACCCAAAGTGAAAGGCACTCTGCCGTGCTGCCATGGGCATGGCCAGCCTCAGGCTTATTCTCCCTGTGATGGAGCTGTTTCAGAGGGGGATGGGGCAGGAGGCTCTTTATCACCATGAGGGGCTTTCGAGCTGCACTGCCACCCAGGGGGTTAGGGCGCTCGGAATTTCCCATGATTCCCAGCTCCTGTCCTAAGTGTCCTGGGATACTTCTGTCCATCTGTGGGGTCCCTGTCCCTTTAATACTCTCCCAGAGCACTCGCATTTCTTTGTCCTCAGGGCACTGACTGCAGGGACCCCTTCGCGGATTTTACTGTCCTATTTCCCTAGTATCCAGCACCCCATGCCCTGTGTCTGCGCTCTGGTGCGGATGGCTAGGGCTGGGTGTTAGCAGTCCTGGGCTCCCTCTCCCTCCCCATTCCGACTCCTCTCCTCCTGCTGAGGAGCTGGGGTCAGGAGTACTCGGGACCCGCCATGCCTGGGCTTGTATCTTACCCCCTTCATGAGGTGCTGGGTTTTCACAGGTGTAGATGTAGCCTGGCTGTTGTCCTGTATCTTCTGGTCTCTCTTTTAGGGATAGTTGTATTTGTGTTTTCAAAAATATACATGATTTTGGGAGGAGATTTCTGCTGCTCTACTCATGCTGCCATCTTGGCTTCTCCTCCAAAACTGAATATTTTAGCCAAAATTTATACATTTGTTTATTTCATCATATTGCTCTGTTCATTTAGTAAAATGTTGGCATAAGAGCTTTTTCTCCTTTTTTATTGTACTGTAAGTTAGTGTCTGAACATAATTTTTTCGAAGTCTTTTTAAGAGATAATACATTTTGTATTTTCTCCTGTTAGTTTTTCCTGTTGTTGTAGAAGAGTTGCCTGAAACATTAAGCTATTAAAAAGAAATGTTTTACCCATGTTAGTTTTCTTTGAGAGAGAACTGTGGGCAGTGGACTTGTGGGAGCGTTGTGTATTTTCCTCAGATCCTGTCCCTGCTGTGACAAAGAATGGAAGGGCAGAGAAACAGTAGTGAAGCAGAGTAAACGTTTCATTTACCTTAACCTAAAGAAAGAAATAGTACAGACCACCTTTGCAAGGAGAGGTGCCCTGAAAGGTTGGAGAGAGAAAGTTTAAGATTAAATGGTTACACAATTAGAAAGTGTGAGTAACCTTAGAGGAGTGCCCTGAAAGGTTGTGGGTTCCCCCTTTAAAGGGTGTTTTCAGGATTGGAACACAGGCTGGGGGTGCAGACTTGTATGTGGTCCCTGCATATTTAGAATTAAGTTATCACAAGAACTTTCTCCTCTGATTTATACCTGGGATAACAGCGTTTTGGTCTGGAAGCATATCAAAATAATTGTGTCTGCCTAACCCTGAAGGTAGGCTGTGTTACTGTTTGCTAAACAGTAAGTTAAGAATCTTCCTTCTTAAATTCCTGGGTATTAAAATGCAATCTTTATTTAAGATGGAGTCCCTTCCTATTTTTTACCTTGTTGTTTACAGCTTGGCCTGCATGCTAAATTAGTTGCCTTGGTTGCCTTATTTGCTTTCCACTCCACTCACATCTATTTTCTTGCCTGACAGAATCATTTAGAAATTTGACTCTAACTTAAAATGAACTTTGTTAGAGCAGAATTTTGGTAATGATGTGTTTTTTAAAACATACTTATTTATAAATTGTTTCTCAGAGTATTTCCGAGAAAAATGAATTATTTTAAATTATTTTATTTTTATAGTTAAAATATTACAATTTTAAATTAAGATGCTAATTCCTTTTCCTCTTAGGCTTTGTAAAGGATAGTAGCACTTGCTCTGTTTAAATAGTAGGAACATAAAAAATATATAAACAAACACTAGCCAATTCTCTGTAATGCACTAAATCACTTGAAGAGTAATATGAAAATTATGCCAAAAGTTTCTTGTTAGATCTACAGTGTGTCTGTTTGAAGACATTTTATTTTTATCTAAATATTTTCTTTTCACTTCAGAGGAAATATCACACTGCAAAGGAAGCCTATGAGCAACTTTTACAGACAGAAAACTTACCTGCACAAGTAAAAGCAACTGTTTTACAACAATTAGGTATATTAGAGTTTTTTTTAATATAGTGCATATATTTTATAATTTGAGGGAGTTGGGTGGGACCTAATTTAACCCTTCTGTTTAAAAGTCAGTTTTCCTTTTGAACTGTTTTCCAGGATTGTATCAGTTTAAATGTTATACCTTGCATTTTAATTTAATATTAATGTTTCTACTATAAATTTACACCTGTTATTCTTTCATGTTAAGTTCTATTTATACCCACTGTGTATCGCAGTCTATCTCAAAATCCATCTAAATATAGGTAGTCTTTTTCAGTTCTTGATATTGTCCCCTTAGCTGATCTCTGGCCAAGGTTTGAGTACTTCCATGAATACTTACCACTCTATGAAGTTAGTTAACTGAAATCATCTACACAGTAATTTAGTGGCTGTTCAGCTTTGCTTTGTAAATTCATTAATAATTTGAATGCTAGTGGAAGCATGTCACCTAAAAATTGTGGAGTATTTCATTCTGTTTTTTCTCCAACAATTTGTTGTATTTTACTTTTTAAAAGACAAAATCTTGTGTTCAAAGTAACATGAATTACATAGTTACTACTTAATGATAAGGATACTCTCCAGTAATTCATATTGGTTATCTAGGTCTATATTAGATATTTCGGTAAGGGAGTAGTTGTTTTTCTTTTCAGCTTCTATTGGTCATGAGCAAATAATTTCTAAATTTTAAGCAAGCTTTTGATAATATGAATATTTTTGTAATGATACTGTTGTTAAAGCAATCAAGCACAATTTTATGTAAGTAAATTACAAAGCTTATGTTGTATGCTAAAATTGTCTTACACCCAAAACTCTGATTTCTATTTGTCTTAAATGGTTACATTTGATCATGATCGTCTTTCCATTGTCTCTCCTATTTCTGAAGTTATTTATTAGTGAAATACTCTGTACTGTTATTACAGCTTTTTAAACCTATTTTTCATTTATATTTCAATATAGTCTTAAATTTTGTTGTTTTTTTCTCCTTAGTCAAATGTTTTTATATTTAGATGTTGATGAAAATAATCAGTGTCAGTGAAATGTGTGGTGTAAAGATTTTAAAACATTTAAATGAGTTAACTGTGATTATGTAAGATTTATTAAAAATAAACATTGGCTTGCTAGATTCTTTTCAAAAATTTTAACCTTCAAATTAGTAATCTATAGATTTTATTTCATTGGTTGAGTTTTTAAATTAAATTATAGAGAGTGAGAATCAGGTATACTTTATATGCATACACCAAATCATTCACATTTTTCTGTTTTCTTTTAAGAGCCTTTGGCAGATTTGATTGATTTTTTTGTGTGTGTTAAAGACTTTCCTATAGCTATCATCAGAAGTTTTAAATATGGGCCCGTTTGATCCAAGATAAGTGATTAAATGTATTTAAATTGTACATTAATTTATTTATGTTTTTCATGGTATTCTTATAGCTAGAAGAATAGATGAATATTGGATAAATGCTTATATTTTTAAATTATAGGATGGATGCATCATAATATAGATCTACGGGGAGATAAAGCAAGTAAGGAAAACTATGCTATTCAGTACCTTCAAAAGTCATTGGAGGCAGATCCGAATTCTGGCCAGTCTTGGTATTTTCTTGGGAGGTAAGAACAGATATGGTTGCTGTGGCCCAAATTTGACTTACATTCTAAAATATTATATACTATCTGCTCAGTGACATTTTATTTTAAATACATTATAATACAGATTCTTGGGCAGTAAATGTGGATTACTCCACACTTGGTGCTTTTACTGAGACATTTTTATTTTGCCCATTAGTTTTTGTTTACACAGTGCTTTTGTTCTAATTGAGTTATTGCTCATTTTAAAGGGGATTAAGTCTCATTAGATACTAATCACAAATACTGTTTTTTAATTTAAAACTCAAATTCTATTCTATTATTTTCCTTCATTTTTAATGTATTTTTAAAAATTCCTTTTATTCTACCTGATGATTTAATAGTCTATGGGAAAGTCAATTAAAGAGTTTGAGTTTTCAGTTTTCTTTTCACATATGTAAATGAAAAGATTGCATTACATCTTTCATTTATCTTTTTTTCAAGGTTATAAACTTAATTATCCTATTTTGATGTAACTATACATTTTGCCCGACTTTTTTTTACAAGGAAGTTTATTTGGAGAAAGTTTGCATGAAATTAGCCTTTGTGTCTAACTTTTTCTTTTTTGGTATCATTAATCTACAATTACATGAGCAAAATTATGTTTACTAGACTCCTCCCATTGTTAAGTCCCCACCACATACCCCATTACAGTCACTGTCCATCAGCGTAGTAAGATGCTGTAGAATCACTACTTGTCTTCTCTGTGTTGTACAGCCCTCCCCACGTGCCTTCCCCCTACACTGTGTGTGCTAATCTTAATGCCTCTTTTTCCTCCTTATCCATCCTTTCCCACCCATCCTCCCCAGTCTCTTTCCCTTTTGTAACTGTTAGTCCATTCATGGTTTCTGTGAAGCTGCTGCTGTTTTGCTTCTTCCGTTTTTTCTTTGTTCTTATACTACACAGATGAATGAAATCATTTGATACTTGTATTTCTCTACCTGGCTTATTTCACTGAGCATAATACTCTCTGGCTCCATCCATGTTGTTGCAAATGGTAGGATTTGTTTTCTCTTATGGCTGAATAATATTCCGTTGTGTATATGTACCACATTATCTTTATCCATTCATCTACTGATGAACACTTATATTTCTTGCATTACTTGACTATTGTAAATAGTGCTTCTATAAACATAGATGTGCATATGTCATTTTGAAAGTGGGCTGCTGCATTCTTAGCATAAGTTCCTAGAAATGGAATTCCTGGGTCAAACGGTAGTTCTATTTTGAGTTTAAAAATAGTGGTATCATTAATGTACAATTACATGAGGATTTACTAGTACAATTACATGATGTTTACTAGACTCCCCCCTTCACCAAGTCCCCCCAACATACCCCATTGCAGTCACTTTCCATCAGCCTGGTCAGATGCTGCGGAATCACTCCTTGTCTTCTCTGTGTTGCACAGCCCTCCCCATGTCTCCACCTCCCACATTATACATGCTAATCATAATGCCCCCTTTCTCCTTTCCATCACTTATACCTCCCCACCCATTCTCCCCAGTCCTTTTCCGTTTGGGAACTATTAGTCCATTCTTGGGTTCTGTGTCTGCTGTTGAGTTTTTTGAGGAACCTCCATACTGCTTTCCACAATGGTTGAATTAATTTACATTCCCACCAGCAGTGTAGGGGGTCCCCTTTCTCTGCATCCTCACCAACATTTGTTGTCTGTCTTTTGGATGGCAGCCATTCTTACTGGTGTGAGGTGATACCTTATTGGGTTTTAATTTGCATTTCTCTGATGACTACCAATTTGGAGCATCTTTTCATGTACCTGTTGGCCATCTGAGTTTCTTCTTTGGAGAAATGGCTGTTGAGCAACTCTGCCCATTTTTTAATTGGATTTTTTGCTTTTTGTTTGTTGAGGTGTGTGAGCTCTTTATCTGTTTTGGATGTCAACCACTTATTGGATCTGTCATTTAAAAATATATTCTCCCATACTGTACGATACCTTTTTGTTGTATTGATAGTGTCCTTTACTGTACAGAAGCTTTTCAGCTTGATATAGTCCCACTTGTTCATTTTTGCTTTTGTTTCCCTTGCCTGGGCAGTTATGTTCATGAAGAAGTTGCCCATATTTTTATCCAAGAGATTTTTGCCTATGGTTTCTCCTAAGAGTTTTATGGTTTCATGACTTACATTCAGGTCTTTGATCCATTTCAAATTTGCTTTTGTATATGGCCTTCAACAGTGATCTACTTTCATTCTCTTACATGTAGCTGTCCAGTTTTGCCAACACCAGCTGTTGAAGAGGCTGTCATTTCCAAGTATATCCATGGTTCCTTTGTCGTATATTAATTGACCATATATGTTTGGGTTAATATCTGGACTCTCCATTCTGTTCCACTGGTCTGTAGGTCTTTTCCTGTGCCAGTACTAAATTGTCTTGATTACTTAGGCTTCGTAGTAGAACTTAAAGTTGGGAAGCAAGATCCCCTCTTTATTCTTCTTTCTCAGGATTGCTTTGGCTGTTGGGGTTTTTTTGTGGTTCCTTAGACCTATTTGTTCCAGTGTGTAGAAGACTGCTGTTGATATTTTGATATGGATTGCATTGAATCTGTAAATTATTTTCAGGAGGATGGCCATTTTGATAATATTAATCCTTCCTACCAAAGCATGGATGAATTTCCATTTATTAGTGTCCTCTTTAATTTCTCTTAAGAGTGTCTTGCAGTTTTCAGGGTATAGGTCTTCTACTTCTTGGTAAGGTTTATTCCTAAGTATTTTATTCTTTTTGATGCTATTGTGAATGGAATTGCTTTCCTGATTTCTCTTTTGGCTAGTTCATCGTTAGTGTGTAGGAATGCATAGGATGTCTGGGTACTAATTTGGTATCCTGCAACTTTGCTGAATTCGGATATTAGTTCTCATACTTTTGGAGTTGATTCTTTATGTTTTTTATGTACAATATCATGTCATCTGCAAATAGTGACAGTTTGACTTCTTCCTTATTAACCTGGAAGCCTTTTATTTTATTTTTTGTGTTGTCTGATCACTGTGGCCAGGACCTCAAGTACTATGTGAATAAAAATGGGGAGAGTGGGTATCCCTGCCTTGTTTCCAATCTTAGGTGAAAAGTGTTCAGCTTCTCGCTGTTAAGTATGATGCTGTTTTTGGGTTTGTCATCTATGGCCTTTATTATGTTGAGGTACTTGCCTTCTATACCTCTTTTCTTGAGAGTTTTGTAAATTGATGTATGTTTTCTAATGCTTTTTCATTAGAGATGATCATGTGATTTTTGTCCTTTTTGTTGATGTGGATGATAGACTTTTGAATGTTGTACCATCTTTGCATCCCTGGGATGAATTCTGCTTTATCATGATGATCTTTTTGATATGTTTTTGAATTCTGTTTGATAATATTTTGAGTATTTTTGCACCTATGTTCATCAGGGATATTGGTCAGTAGTTTTCTTTTTTTGTGATGTTTTTCCCTTGTTTTGGTATTAGAGTGATGTTGGCCTTATAGAATGCTTTTGGTAGTATTACCTCCTCTTCTAGTTTTTGGAAAAACTTTAAGGATGATGGGTATTAGTCTTCACTCAACGTTTAATAAAATTCAGCGGGGAAACCAACTGGTCCAGTTTTTTGGTTTTTAGGTAGTGTTTTGATTACCTGTTCAATTTCTTTGCTGGTAATTGCTCTGTTGAGATGTCAGGTTCTTCCTGGGTCAGTCTTGGAAAGTTGTATTTTTCTATAAGTTTTGTCCATTTCTTCTCGCTTATCCATTTTTTTGCCACATAATTTTTCATAGTATTCTCTAATAATTCTTTTGAGTTCTGTTGGATCTTCAGTGGTTTTTCCGGTCCTATTTCTGAGTCTGTTTATGTGTGTAGATCCTCTTTTTTTTCTTGATTAGTCTAGCTAGGGTTTTATCTATTTTGCTTATTTTCTTGAAGAAGCAGCTCCTGCTTTTATTGATTCTTTCTGTTGTTTTATTCTTCTCAATTTTATTTATTTCTGCTTTAACCTTTCTTACGTCCGTCCTTCTACTGACTGTGGGCCTCATTTGTTCTTCCTTTTGTAGTTTCATTAATAGTGAATTTAGAGTGTTCATTTGGGCTTATTCTTCTCTCCTGAGATAGGCCTGTATTGCAATATATTTCTGTATTAGCACAGCCTTCGCTCCATCCCACAGATTTTATGATGTTGAATTATTAGTATCATTTGGCTACATATATTGTTTGATGTCTATTTTAATTTGGTCATTGATTATTTAGGAGCTTCTTATTAAGCCTCCATGTGTTTGTGGGCTTTTTCGTTTTATTTGTGTAATTTATTTTAGTTTCATACCTTTGTTTTCCGAAAGCTGGCTGCTACAATTTCAATCTATTTTAATTTACTGAGCTTGTTTTTTTGGTCTAGTATATGATCTATTCTTGTAAATGTTCCATGTGCACTTGAGAAGAATGTGTATCCTGTTGCTTTTGGATGGAGTGTTCTGTAGATGTCCTTTAGGTCCATCTGTTCTAATACATTGTTCAGTGCCTTCGTCTCTACTATTCTGGTTGATCTATCCCTTAGAGTGCGTGGTGTGTTGAAGTCTCCTAAAGTGAATGCATTGCATTCTATTTCCCCCTTTAATTCTGTTTATATTTGTTACACACGTCAGTGATCCTGTGTTGTATGCACATGTATTTAGAATACTTATATCCTCTTGTTGGACTGACTCTTTCATCATTATGGAATGTCCTTCTTTGTCTCTTGTTACTTTCTGTTTTGAAGTCTACTTTGTCTGATACCAGTTCTGCTTTTTTCTATTAGTTGCATGAAATATCTTTTTCCATTCCTTTACTTTTCATTCTGTGTGTGTCCTTGAATTTAAAGGGAGTCTCTTGTAGGCAGCATATAGATAGGTTTTATTTTTTCATCACTGTCTCTATGTCTTTTCATTGGTGCATTCAGTCCATTTACATTTATGGTGATTATTGATGTATATGTATTTATTGCCATTGCAGGGTTTAGATTCGCGTTTACCAAAAGTTCAAGGGTAATTCCCTATCTAACAGTCTAATTTAACTCACTTTGGATGCTATTACAAACACAACCTAAAGGTTTGTTTTATTTCTTTCCTCCTTTTTTTTATCCTCCATTCTTTGTATATTATGAATCATATTCCATAGTCTTGGTCTATCCCTTGGGTGACATCTATTTAGCCTTAGGAATACTTCCATCTATAGGAGTCCCTCCAAAATGGACTGTAGATGTGGTGTTTGGGAGGTAAATTCTCTCAGCTTTTGCTTATCTGAAAATTATTCAGTCCCTCTTTCAAATTTAAATGATAATCTTTCTGCGTAGAGTGTTGTTGGCTCAAGGCCCTTCTGATTCCTTGCATTACATATATCATGCCATTCTCTTCTGGCCTTTAAGGCTCCTGTTGAGAAACCTGATGATAGCCTGATAGGTTTTCCTTTGTATGTGACTGTTTTTCTCTCTCTAGCTCCTATTTTTTATTTTTTATTAAGGTAGGATTGATATACACTCTTATAAAGGTTTCACATGAAAAAACAATGTGATTACTACATTTACCCACATTATCAAGTCCCCACCCATACCCCAGTGCAGTCACTGTCCATCAGTGCAGCAAGTTGCCAGAGATCTACTATGTCCCTTCTCTCTGATAACACTGTTTTCCCCATGATCCCCCACACCATGGGTAGTAAACATAATACCCCTCAGTCCCCTTCTCCCTCCCTCCCCACCTGCCCTCCCACACCCCTCCCCTTTGGTAACCACTAGTTTATTCTTGGAGTCTCTGAGTCAGCCTAGGTGCTTTTTAAAGTTTGTCTTTACCTTTGATCTTTGCCATTTTAATTATTATATGTCTTATGTTGTCTTCCTTGGGTACCTTGTCTTGGAAGACCTGTGTACCTCCAAGGCTTGAGAGACCATCTCCTTCCCCAGATTGGGGAAGTTTTCAGCAATTACCTCCTCAAAGACAGTTTCTGTCCCTTTTTCTCTCTCTCTTTCTTCTGGTATCCCTACAATGCGAATATTGTTCTGTTTGAATTGGTCACACAGTTCTCTCAATATTCCTTCATTCCTAGAGTTTCTTTTTTCACTCTTTGACTCAGCTTTTTTGTATTCTTGTTCTCTAATTTCTGTTCCATTATCGTCTCTTCTACTGTATCTAATGTGCTTTATATCCCTCCATTATATGTTTCATTTCAGATATGGAATTGAATGATTATATCTCTGACTTAAATTTATACCTAATTTCTTGAATATTTTTCTGTACCTCCATAAGCATGTTTATGAGTTTTATTTTGAATTCTCTTTTAGGAAGATTGGTGAGTTCAGTTTCATTTGGCCCTTTTTCTGCTGTTTGTGAGATTTGGTCTGAACCATGTTCTTTTGATGTTTCATCTTCTGTGTTGTGTCCTCTAGTGCCCAGAGCTCAAGTCTCTGGACCGCCTCACCCAGTAGAGTAAGTTTGGGGTCATAGGGGAGTGGAGCTGGTGCTGGTGCCTGGGAGGAAGAAAAATGTTTTTCCTGATTCCTTTCTGCCCTGTCTCATGTATCAGAGCCAGTGGGCCGAGTACACAGGTGTAAGCCTCTGTGCTTTGCATCTGTAGCTGTTGCAGGAAGGGCCTCCAACTGGCTGGCCTGATGCCAGCACAGTGCTGGTTTGCAAATCGGTGGCATCAGGCCAGGAGGAAGTCTCCTCAGGCTCTGTGTCACAGTGGGGGACCTCAGAGTTGAGTAGCCAACCAGGGGGATGGAGCACCTCAAGCTCCTTAGAATTCCCAATCTGCTGGGCAGAGCGTGCCCAGGCAGCCTTTTCAACCTATCCCTTCTCCTGCACAGCAAACTCCATGCAAACCCTGCCATTTCAGCAGCCCTTTCTCTTCTAGGGAGCCTCTCAGACGGCCTGCCTTTCCACTGAGGCAGAGAGGTCTGTTGTGGATCCCCTCCTCCACAAACGGCCAGAATCTCAGTGTCTCAGGCACTCTACCTGTCCAAGCTCCCCAACGTCCAGAGCACCACACAGTGTAGGTTTCTTCCCGCAAAGATCTCCAGGGCCAGGTGTATAGCAGTCGTAGGCTTCCAGCACCTCCCCGCTCCATTTCTCTTCCTCCTGCCAGTGAGTTGGGGTGAGGAAAGGACCTGGGTCCTGCTAGCTGATGGCATTTGGACTTTTCCCTGTTTTGTGAGCTCTGCGATGTCCATGAGGTCTGTATGCAGTCTGGTCAAGACTTCTTTCTTGTTGCTGTTTTAAGGTTAGTTGTATTAATTATCTATATTTTCATACTATTTTTGGTTTTGGGAGGAGTTCTCCCTCTCACCTCTCATGCTGCCCATCTTGAATCTCTCCAGATGTCATCAGTGATCATTTTTGTAGTGTTTAGTTTTCTTTTCTCAACAGCCAGTGCATAGAATAGTCACTTTTTAGTTCATTTTATATACTTGGTTTTTGTATCTTTGTTTTGTTGTTTGTTTGGTAAAATCAGCATTTACTGGCCTTCCTCTCAATACCTTTAATATTGCTCTTTTAAGATATGTTTAAAATGTTGGAAGTTATTTAAAAATATTAAACTATATTTTAAATGTCTCACTGTTTTAGTAGTCTCATGCTGACTATATCTTTTATCTTTGCAATGAATGTATGTATGTATGTTATCCTCAGTATTAAAAATTCAGACATAGAACTGAAACCATTATTACCATTTAGTTTCTTTTGTTTTTTTACCTCTATATTCTTGTCATGGAGGAAATCAATTTTGTACAAAATATAGAAGTAGAGTGCTGTGTGTTTAACCAGGAATGTTAATAGCATTGAACAAAATGGCCTGAAATTGCTTCTAGAATTTATTAATATAATGTGTATAAGCACTTATAAGTCAGTTCATTTAGCAGTCGATTATAATGTAACTACTATACATAAATGTTGGAAAACATTTACATGTTTATAAGTAAACTTTAGTTTTTTCCCTTATACAAAACATTGGTACATAAATAGTTAATTAAGTTTTAGTGGAATACTTTATGTATAGATAAATATGTTTATTCATATATATGTGTATATAAATAATATTCATATATATAAAACTTTCCCCCTCTTTTAGGTGCTATTCAAGTATTGGGAAAGTTCAGGATGCCTTTATATCTTATAGGCAATCTATTGATAAATCAGAAGCAAGTGCAGATACATGGTGTTCAATAGGGTAAGGCTTATGTATGTAAAATTAAATGTATTTGTACATAAATTCATTTAATCCTCATACTTCATATTAATAACATACCCATTTATTTTTAACAACTTACTGTTCTTATTTTTCTTTATAGTGTTCTCTATCAGCAACAGAATCAGCCTATGGATGCTTTACAGGCTTATATTTGTGCTGTGCAATTGGACCACAGGCATGCAGCAGCCTGGATGGACCTAGGGAGTCTTTATGAATCCTGTAATCAACCTCAGGATGCCATTAAATGCTACTTAAATGCAACTAGAAGTGAAAGTTGTAGTAATATTTCTACACTTGCAGGAAGAATGAAGTTTTTACAGGTAAAAATTACAAGTAGCGTATTTTCAAGTACACATTTCCCTCTCATAACTGGCATGAGGATGGTAGCTGGAAAGTTTGTCTTTTTTGTTCTGATGTCAGTAAATTTTTCATGATTTTTAATGTTAATCTGATTCTATTTATATTTCATTTAAGGAAGATGTGCAGTGTTTAAAATGTTCTTTTGCACATATACTTTGTTGATGCACATTCATTTGCTTAGTTCTGTGTTATCTACATTTTTAAGATCACTATAGAGAAAATAACAAATATTTTTCACTCTTTGAAATTTCATGAGAAGGTATTTATGAGAATTTTGAAAACCATTAGTTTTATTCTGATTTGCACAAGTATACTCTAGTCACCCTTTTCATACTTAGCTTGTACCTAAAAGCCCAAACTTAGAATATTTTTTCAAAAAAGATCTGTTTTAGAATCTATTCTTTTAAAAGCTAATACCTGTAGCATTGAGGAAGAATTAGTGGATTTGCTCTTAATCAAGTAGGCCTGTGTTAAATTTGCTTTTTACATAATTTTTCCTAGGCTCAGTTGTGTAACGTTCCACAAGGTAGTCTACAGAATAAAACTAAATTACTTCCTAGTATTGAGGAGGCATGGAGCCTACCAATACCTGCAGAGCTTACCTCCAGGCAGGGTGCCATGAACACAGCACAGCAGGTGAGAAGTTGGGTATTCTTCTTTAGGTGCCCAGCTTTCAGGGTTCTTTCCAATTTGCAGTGACCAAATTTATATTAAGTGCAGGATTGTATTTCTTTAAACATAAAACTCCGTATTTAATTGCAAAACATTTTAGATCAAAATACAACTTCCTCTGATGTGGGCAAAAAATTGGGGTCCCAACATAAGTCTTTTATATATTCTCATGATTTCAGTTTTTTGTGGAACTACTCTACAGTGGTTTATTTAATTTGAAAAATGAACTTTTTCAAAAGAAGATACACATTCTTCCATTGATGGAACATTTGATTTTCAGTAATTGTAATTCATGATACCCACATAGTTTTGAAAAATATCCAGCTTATGAAGTTTTATAATTTGAAGGAATAAATTAAGAATATGTAAACCATATATTTTTTTCACTTCTGTGATCCTTAGGCTTATAAAACTCATCATCCAAATACTGAATCTGTATTAGACCTCAGTCAAACACCAAGTTCAGAGCAGTCTTTGCCAGTACATACAATTACTTCTACCCAAGTAGATAGCCTATCCAGTCCTGCGAAGAGGAAAAGAACATCTAGCCCAATAAAGGTATTTATACATTTTAGATAAATGGAAAATCCCAATACAAAACTGAAGCTCTTAACTTCTAAAGTTATGTCTTGTATTTTAAACTGTGCAAGTGAAATGTCTTTCACTTTTTCGCTTTTGTAGGCATTTCCTATCCCAGAATTGTAACATCATTTAAGCAAAGAAGATATGAAGGAGTCACTTCATGTTCATCAAATCATTTTTGTTTCCCAGTTTTTATGAACTCATCCGTACTTTTATTGCAACTTTCTACTTACACTGAAATTAGTTTAATGTTGGATGTAATAGCCTCGAAGCTTCTTACGCAATAATGTAGATATAAAGCTTTTTAGATAGAGTAAGACCGAATGTATGTTTGAAACTCATACATTTCCAAATTGATTATGCATTTAAAATTATTTAGGTGATTTAAAAAGATAAGTTCTAAATACATGTAGATACACCAATTCATAGTCATTTGGTATCTCAGTAGTCATACCTGTTGGTGTATGAATTTAACCAAATTCTCTTTAATTTTTTTAAATGTTTTCCTCAGAATAGTTCTGAGAACCAGAATAGTCGCCTGATTGATTCACATATTCCAGTACAGCAAAAAGTTCATTCATGCTGTTTGACACCACTGAAATTACAGGTATGAAATACTCTTTTGACAGTATTCCTTCATATGGGAAAGCAATTAGAGGTAGAAAGCTTTGTTTTTGATTTATTAAGCTTTAAAATGAGTGACTCTAAACTAATATGTGCTTAGGTACAATGAGTCCTTGTTTTTTGGAATAATCGAATTCATAGTTTTTGTTTTGAAATGTAAGAAATATTGGAAAATACACTTTAAAACGTAAAGGCTTATTCCAGTTTCTGACTCCAGACACCTGATTTGCTTTCCTAAAAATAATCAGTGTTGAAAGCTTCTATTGTGTTTTTTTTTCATAAAGTTACAGTATTTATATACAAGAAAGTGTGCTTTTATCATAAGAACCATTTTTTTGGTATCATTAATCTACAATTACATTATGTTTACTAGGCTCCCCCTTCAACAAGTGCCCCCCAAAAACTCCATTACAGTCACTGTCCGTGAGTGTAGTAAGATGCTGTAGAATCACTACTGTATTCTCATACACATTCTGTATTCTCATGCACAGCCCACCCCATGCCCTCCCTCCCCCACATTATACATGCTAATCATACTGCCCCCTTTTTTTCCCCCCACCCTTATCCCTTCCTTCCCACCCATTCTCCCCACTCCCTTTCCCCTATACTTGGGTTCTGTGTTTCTGCTGCTGTTTTGTTCTTTCAGTTTTTCTTTGTTCTTATACTCCACATATGAGTGAAATCATTTGGTACTTGTCTTTCTCCTCCTGGCTTATTTCACTGAGCATAATACCCTCTAGCTCCATGCTACCATGTTGTTGCTACCATGTTGGTACCTCTAGCTACCATGTTGTTGCAAATGGTAGGGTTTGTTTTCTTCTTATGGCTGAATAATATTCCATTGTGCAATATGTACCACATCTTCTTTATCCATTCATCTACTGATGGACACTTAGGTTGCTTCCATTTCTTGGCTATTGTAAATCATGCTGCAATAAGCATAAGGGTACATCTGTCTTTTTCAAACTGGGCTGCTGCATTCTTAGGATAAATTCCTAGAAGTGGAATCCCTGGGTCAAGTGGTATTTCTATTCTAAGCATTTTGATGAACGTCCATACAGCTTTGCACAATGGTTGAACTAATTTACATTCCCACCAACAGTTTAGAAGGGTTCCTCTTTCTCCACAACCTCGCCAACAGTTGTTGTTGTTTGTCTTTTGGATGGTGGTGATCCTTACTCGTGTGAGGTGATATCTTATTGTGGTTTTAATTCGTATTTCCGTGTTCATTAGTGATGTGGATAATCTTTTCATGTGCCTGTTGGCCATCTGAATTTCTTCTTTGGAGAAGTGTCTGTTTAGATCCTCTGCCTAATTTTAATATGGTTATTTGCCTTTTGGGTGGTGAGGCATGTGAGTTCCTTATACATTTTCAATGTTAACCCCTTGTTGGATATGTCATTTAGAAATATATTCTTCCATACTGCAGGATGTCCTTTTCTTCTGCTGATTTTGTCCTTTGCTGTACAGAATCTATTTAGCATGAATTAGTCCCATTTGTTTATTTTTGCTTCTGTTTCTCTTGCCCGAGAAGATGTGTTGAGGAAAATGTTACTCATGTTTATATTCAGGAAATTTTTCCCTATGTTGTCTTCTGAGAGTCTTTCGTTTCATAACTTATGTTCAGATCTTTGGTCCATTTTGAGGTTACATTCGTGTATGGGGTTAGACAGCAATCCAGTTTCATTCTCTTACATGAGTTGTCCAATTGTGTCAACACCAGTTGTTGAAGAGACTGTCATTTCCCCATTGCATATCTCCTTTATCGTATATTAATTGACCATATATGTTTGGGTTTATGTCTGAGCTCTGTAGTCTGTTCCATTGGTGTATGGATCTGTTCCTGTGCTAGTACCAAATTGTATTGATTACTATGGCTTTGTAGTAGATCTTGAAGTCAGGGGTTAAGTACCTTCAGATTTAAATGTTGTTTCCATGTAATATAATTAAATGAAAATGTAAAAATATTCTTGTGATGAATTTTTGTTTTTTACCCTTCTTTATTAATTTTCTGAAAGGACTTCACATTAGAATTAATTGTTTTGGTTGGGAATCACTGATTCTTTTTGACCACACAGAGATTCTTCATTTGTTGTAATTTCAATGGTAGGTACTTGATAGTGTCTTATTTCTCAGATTTAATTTGTGTCCTTCCTTTTTGTTTTTCTAGCACTTGCAAGAGTTGTGCACAAATAGAGATAATTTAAATCCAGCACAGAAAGTCATGCTGGCACAATTGGAAAATCAGATTGTCTTGATGAAAGAAGTATGTATATAATTTTTATCGTAATATTTATCATGGTGTTAAGATTTTTTCTTGAGTCCTATTTCATTTACATTGTTGATGTTCATTTCTACTTGCTACTATATTCAATTCAACTTATGTATCTGGAATTTTAAGTACTACTTCACTGTTTTTTTGTTTAAATAGCCACAGATTAATTTAGAATGAAACACTTGTATTTACCTTTTTTTTGTCTTAATTCTTAAGGTGTTTTTCTATGGGCTTTCTACTTTAGAGTCAGCAGTTTGTTCATATTGAGGGGACAGTATGTTTTAAGGATTATTTGATTTCAAGGATTTGGTGTAAGTGTAATAATAGAATGGAAATTTGAAATTCTCTGCTTCATGCTGCAAAATAAGGCTATAAATTACTGACTCGTCTGTAATTTTAAGATGCTTTCTTTTGTTCTAATACAAGTAAGGATTCTTTTAAGTATATTGAAGATTTCTGCTTTATGCATATGAATATATTTCATTATTAAAATGTGTTTTTTAATGCCAAGAGATTAATTGTTTAAATAAAATTAAGGATGTTTTGATTACACATTTTCAAAGTCACACAAGCAGGGTTTTCTTTTTTTTTTTTTTTTGAAAGCAATCCTGAGAGCACAAACTCCTGGAATTCCTAATGGGCAAATGGCTGACTCATTACTGCCTTCAGAATCTATCTCTAGCCACCAACCTGCTCTGCCCAGAGTTCCTAGTGTCTCACAGCCTGAAGTTGGCTGTGGTTATTTTGAAAAGTCTTTGTCCAGTCGACCATTTTTTGCAGGCTATCCTCCTTGTGGCACATCAAAAACACTAGGGAGTACTGACACTCTTTTGGTAGGCAATCGGCATATAACAGGAAGTGGAAGTAATGGAAATGTGCCTTTTCTTCAGCAAAACACATTCACTCTACCTCATAACTGCACAAACCTGGCCAGCAGTGCAGAAGAGCCATGGAGAATTTACCTGTCTAACTCCACTCAGGTAAAACAAAGATTAGGTGCTTTGTTTATTTGTACAAAATAATTTTTCTTTGCTTATTTATATTTTGAGAAATAAAGTATTTTTATTGTTAAAATTAATTTTAAATATTTCATGGTTATGTGAGAATATTAAGTGTTAAGTGTATTAGTACTACATTTTTAATTCAAGCTATGCATCTAAATGTATACTTACCCAACATAAATTAATGTACATAGAAATTGTTACTCTAGAAATAAAGTAAGTAAACAAAAAAAAATTACAGTCTTACAATTTCTCCAGGTCTTATGATTGCTAACTGAAACATCTTGAGTATGTTTTTTTTTTTTAACCAAGAAATGGGTTCCTTTTCTTGGTATCATCTATCTACAATTACATGAGCAACATTATGGGTACCAGATCCTCCCATCATCAAGTCCCCACCACTTAGCCCATTACAGTCACAGTCCATAAACATAGTACGATGCTATAGAATCGCTATTTGTCTTCTCTATGTTGTACCGCCCTCCATATGCCTCCCCCTACATTATGTGTGGTAACCGTAATGCCCCATATTCCCCTTATCCCTCTATTCACATCCATCCTCCCCAGTACCTTTCCTTTCATAACTGTCAGTCCATTCCTGGGTTCTGTGAGTCTGCTGCTGCTTTGTTCCTAGTTTTTTTCTTTTCTTTTGGTATCATTAATCCACAGTTACATGAGGAACATTATGTTTACTACATTCTCCCCATCACCAAGTCCCCTGACATACCCCACTACATTCACTGTCCATCAGCGTACTAAGATGCTATAGAATCACTACTTGTCTACTCTATATTGTACAGCACTCTCCAGGCCCCCCGCCCCCTCATTATACATGCTAATCATAATGCCCTCTTTCTTTTTCCTACCCCGTTATAGCTCCCTTCCCACACATCCTTCCCAGTCCCTTTCTCTTTGGTAACTGTTAGTCCATTAGTTAGTTCTGGTGTCTGCTGCTGTTTTGTTTCTTCAGGTTTTGCTTTGTTCTTATACTCCACATATGAGTGAAATCATTTGGTACTTGTCTTTCTCTGCTTGGCTTATTTCACTGAGCATAATACCCTCTAGCTCCATCCATGTTGTTGCAAATGGTAGGATTTGTTTTCTTCTTATGACTGAATGATATTCCATTGTGTATAAGTACCACATCTTTATCCACTCATCTACTGATGGACACTTAGGTTGCTTCCATTTCTTGGCTATTGTAAATAGTGCTGTGATAAACATAGGGGTGCATCTTTCTTTTTCAAACTGGAGTGCTACATTCTTAGGGTAAATTCCTAGGGGTGGAATTCCTGGGTCAAATGGTATTTCTACTTTGAATTTTTTGAGGAACCTCCATGTGGTTGAACTAATTTACATTCCCACCAGCAGTGTAGGAGGGTTGTTGCCCTTTCTGCACAACCTCGCCAACATTTGTTGTTGTCTTTTGGATGTTGGCGATCCTTACTGGTGTGACATGATATCTCATTTTGGTTTGAATTTGCATTTCTCTAATGAGTAGCAATGTGGAGCATAATTTTATGTGTTTATTGGCTACGAATTTCTTCTTTGGAGAACCATCTGTTCAGCTCCTCTTCCCCCTTTTTAACTGGATTATTTGCTTTTTGTTTGTTGAGGTGTGTGAGCTCTTTATATATTTTTTATCAGATCTGCCATTTGTCAATATATTCTCCCATATTGTAGGATGCCTTTTTGTTCTATTTGTGGTGTCCTTTGCTGTACAGAAGATTTTAAGCTTGATATCATCCCACTTTTTCATTTTCGCTTTTGTTTCCCTTGCCCAGGGAGAAATGTGTGTGAAGAAGTCAGTCATGTTTATGTCAAAGAGTTTTTGCCTATGTTTTTTTCTAAGAGTTTTATGTTGTCATGACTTAAATTGAGGTCTTTGATCCATTTCGAATTTCCTTTTGTGTATATGGGTACACAATGATCTTCCTCTTTACTAATCTGGATGCTTTGTATTTCTTTGTTCTGTTTTATTTCCTTGGCTAGGATCTCCAGAACTATGTGCATAGGGAGAGTTGGCATTGCTGTCTTGTTCCCTATGTTAGGTGAAAAGCTTACAGCTTCTTGCTCTTAAGTTTGATGTTGGCTGTGGGTTTGACATATATGGCCTTCATTATATTGAGGTACTTGCCCTCTATACCCATTTTGTTGTGAGTTTTTATCATGAATGGATGTTGTATTTTGTCGAATGCTTTTTCAGCGTCTATGGAGATGATCATGTGGTTTTTGTCTTCTTGATATGGATTATGTTGAGGGGTTTTCGAAAGTTGTATAATCCTTGCATAACTGAGATGAGTCCCACTTAATTATGCTGTGTGATCTTCATGATGTATTTTTGAATTTGGTTTGCTAATTCTTTTGTTTTTGGTATCATTAATCTATAATTACAGGAGGAACATATTTACTAGACTACCCCTATCAGTTGGCCAATATTTTGTTGAAATTTTTTGCATTTATGTTCATCAGGGATATTCGTCTGTAGTTTTATGTTTTTGTAGGGTCTTTGCCTGAGTTTAGTATTAGATTGAAGCTAGCCTCATAGAATGAGTTTGGAAGAATTCCCTCCTCTTCTGTTTTTTGGAAACTTTAAGGAGAATGGGTATAATGTCTTCTCTATATGTCTGTTAAAATTCAGTGGTGAATCCATCTGGAATGGGGGTTTTGTTTTTGGGTAGTTTTTTGATTACTGATTCAGTTTCTTTGTTGGAATTTGTTTGTTTAGATTTTTTGTTTCTTCCTTGATCAGTCGTGTGAGATTTTATTTTTGTAGGAAGTTGTCTATTTCTTCCAGGTTTTCTAGCTTGTTAGCATATGTATTTTCATAGTGTTCTCTAATAATTCTTTGTATTTCTGTGGGCCCATCTTGATTTTTACTTTCTCATTTTTTATTCTGTTTATGTGTGTAGATTCTCTTTTTCTCTTAAATTTGGCTAAGGGTTTATCTATTTTGTTTATTTTCTCAAAGAACCAGGTCTTGGTTTCAATTTTTTTCTATTGATTTATTCTTCTTAATTTTATTTATTTCTTCTCTGAGCTTTATTATGTCCCTCCTTCTGCTGACTTTGGGCCTCATTTGTATTTTTCTAGTTTTGTTCATTTTTAGTTTAAACTGCTTGTGTTGGATTGTTCTTGTTTCCTGATGTAGATCTGTATTGCAATATACTTTCCTCTTATCATGGTGTTTGCTGCATCCCTCAGATATTGCTGTGTTGAGTTATTGTTCTCCTTTGTCTCCATATATTGCTTTATCTCTCTTTTTATATGGTCATTGATCCATTGGTTACATTGGAGCCTATTGTGAAGCTTTCATGCGTCCTTCTTTGCCTCTTGTGACTATATTTTGAAGTCTGTTTTGTCTGATACAAGTACTACAACTCTGCTTTTTCTTCACTATTAGTTGAATCAAATGTCTTTTTCCATCCCTTCACTTTTAGTCTCTGTATGTCTTCGGGTTTCAGTGAGTCTCTTGTAGGCATCATTTAGATGGGTCTGGTTTTCTTATCCATTCAGTGACTCTCTGTCTTTTGATTAGTGCATTCAGTTATTTTACATTTAGGATGATTATTGATAGGTATGTACTTATTGCCATTGCAGAGTTTACATTCATGTTTACCAAAGATTCAAGGTTAACTTCCTTGCTATGTAAGAGTCTAACTGAACTCACTTAATATACTATTACAAACACAATCTAAGGGTTCCTTTTTTTTCATCCTCCATTCTTTATATGTTAGGTATCACATTCTGTACTCTTTGTCTGTTTTAGGAGAGTTAATTTAATTTTCCATTTGCTTAGTCATTAGCTGCTCTGCTTTCTTTACTGTAGTTTTATTACCTCTGCTGACAGCTATTAAACCATAAGAAATCTTCCATCTAAGGCAGTTCATCCAAAATACACTGTAGATATCATGTATGGGAGGTAAATTCTCTCGGGTTTTGTTTATCTGGAAATTGTCAACATCCATTCATGATAAAAACTGTCAACAAAGTGGGTATAGAGGGCAAGTACCTCAACATAATAAAGGCCATATATGACAAACCCACTGGCAACATAATACTTAACTGCAAGAAGCTGGAAATTGTGTGATCCCTCCTTCAAATTTAAGTGATAATCTTGCCAGATAAAATATTCTTGTTTTGAGGATCTTCTGCTTCACTGCATTGCATAGATCATTCCACTCCCTTCTGGCCTGTAAGGTTTCTGCTGAGAAGTCTGATATAGCCTGAGGAGCTTTACTGGATATGTGATCCTTTTTGTCTCTCTTGCTGCATTTAATAGTCTGTCCTTGTCCTTTATCTTTCCCATTTAGTTACTATATGTCTTGGTGTTGTGTTTATTGGGTCCCTTGTGTTCAGAGATCTGTGCATCTCCATGTCCTTCCCCAGACTGGGGATGTTTTCAGCAATTACCTCATCAAAGACACTTTCTATCCCTTTTTCTGTCTCTTCTGGTGCCCCTGTAATGCAAATATTGTTACATTTGGATTGGTCACACAGTTCTTTCAATATTCTTTCATTAGAGATTCTTTTTTCTTTTTGTGCCTCAGCTACTTTGTATTCCTCTTCTCTAATTTCTATTTCATTTATCGTCTCCTCCATGATATCTTATGTGTTTTTAATACCCTCCATTGTGCTCCTCAACGATTGGATCTCTGACTGGCTTTCCTTCCTGAGTTTTTGAATATCTTTCCGTTCCTCCATGAGCATGTTAATGATTTTTATTTTGAAGTCCCTTTCAGGAAGATTAATGAGGTCATTGTCATTTAAATCTTTCTCAGAAGTTGTATTAGTAAGTTTACTTTGAACTAGGTTCTTTTAGTGTGTCATATTTGTATATGGTGCTCTCTAGTACTCAGAAGCTCTACTTTCTGGAGCTGCTCAGCCCCTGAAGCATTGTCAGGGGTCGCAGGGAGAGGTATTGGTGCCTGGGGGGAGGAAAGAGTTGTTTCCTGCTTTCTGGCTGCTATGCCTGTCTTCACTGCCTGAACCAGTGGGCTTATACATAGGTATAAGCCTCTATGCTTTGTGTTTGTTGTGGCTGTAGGCAGATCTTTCGTGTGGCTCACCTAACTTCAGGGTAGGGTTTACCGGTTTGCAAGGCAGGTGGGGCATGTTGGGAGAAAGGCACAATAGGCTGGGTATCACAGTGTGGGTCCTTGGAGCTGTGTAGCCATCCAGGGAGCTTGAGCACCTGAAGACCATGAAAGCTCCCAACCTGCTTGGCAGAGTGCACCTGGATAATTTTGTCTACCTGTCCTTTGTCCTGAGCAGTAAGCTCTATGCAGTCCTTCCCCTGTGCCAGCCCTCTTGCTAAGGGCTTCCTTGTTAGGAAGTCTCTCAGACTGCTCATCTCTCTTTTATCCCAGAGCAGCCCAATATGGATCCCTGCTTTCCACAAGTGGCTGGAATCTCCGTCTCTCCTGGAATTCTTCTGGTCGTATCTATACAAACCCCTAATCATGAGAGTATCATGCAAGCACTATGAAATGTAGGTTTGTGCTCCCAGAGCAGATCTCCAGAGCTAGGTATTCAGCAGTTCCAGGCCTCCACTCCCTCCCTGCTCAGTTTCTCTTCCTCCCGCCGGTGAGCTGGTGTGGAGGAAGACCCTTGAGTCCTGCTGGGCCACAGGTTTGGTACGTTAGTCTGTTCCGTGAGGTGTGCTCTTTTCTCCAGGTGTATGCAGTCTGGTGCAGTCCTCTTCCCTGCTGCTCTTTCAGGATTAGTTGTATTATTTACATTTTCATATTATATGTGGTTTTAGTAGGAAGCCTCTGTCTCACTTCTGTCATGCTACCATCTTTAATCCTCTGCCGCATATATATTCCTAATCATTATACTCTTGTTGGACTGGTCCCTTTATGTAATGTCCTTCTTTATCTCTCGTTACTTTCTTTGTTTTGCAGTCTATTTTGTCTGGTACAAGTACTGCAACAATGCTTTTTCTCCCTGTTTGCATGAAATATCTTTTGCCCTCCTTTCACTTTTAGTCTGTGTATATAGGTAGTACTTTTTTGAAATGTTTTTATTTTACCTTTATTTTTTAATTACAGTGTTACTTTCTCATTTGGCATTTATTTTCTTATGAGTTTTTTCAACCAGTCACTTCAGCTGATGATTTGCATTGAGGTTTTTGTAAGGGTTTTGCTCAGTGCTTTGCTAGTTTTGAATTTTCTCTTTGTAGCTTTAAGCAGTTTTATTCTGATGTGTCATTGGCAGTTCTTACTAGGTTTATTCATGGTTTTCTAAACTTAGTTTTCTGTCTTAGTTTTTCATAAAGATAAAGATTAGAAGTAAGTTCTGCCTTCATTTCTTCAAATACTGTTTTAGGGGTTTGTTTACATACAGTAATTTTTTATTGGATACTGATCATTAGAAATTTTGTTTAGTCATTCTAGTTAATGTTTTCTGTGTTTTTTTAATCTTAATTGCTTTATGTTAAGGAATCTCATGAAATTTGAAGGCACTATCTTTTGTTAGTTATTTTTACCTTGTTTCATTGTATTTTTCTCTTTGTACATACTTTATTAGTGGGCAGGTAATTATTAAGGCCAACAAGAGGCTATCAGGCCTCTGCCTTTTGAGTGTGGGTTGAAGAACACATAGGAAGTTGCAGTCCATTGTCATATCTCCCTTTGCTTTCATTGCACTATGGATTTCCTTTAAAAGAATTTGTAAATGTTAACATTCTCTGATCTATAGTAGAGGATTAGGAAAATGTAATTTTTTTACATGGCTGGGTATTTTATGATTTAATATATAAGTCAGTTATGATGAATGAATTTATTGCACTATGCACACCCTTTTTATGTGGTATTTTGAGTCTTGATAAAATTGTTTACTATTTTTGTTTTATAAAATCTTTTGCAGAATTAGGATTCATATATCAATTGTGCTTGATTCTTGTATTTATTTCAAATTAAATTGTATCCTTTTGCCCTCTGAGTATGTGCCATATTAATGTGCCCAGTATTAAAGTAGATAAAATTCTAAGTAATGTAATCAAATTACAAACATATTGTTTTGGGTGTTTTAAATAGTAATATGTAATGTCAGAGGTACACTAACAGATTTGAGTTAGATGATTAAAAGTGACTTTAGTGTATATTTATGTATTCTAAGTGCAATTCTCAGTTCAATATTTAGTAGTTTACAGGTTACTATTGACAGTTCTGTTCACATGAAAATAAAAGACTTTTAGTTGTGTTCCTGAACTAATTACCAAGTCAAAAAACAGCAGTACTAAAGTTTTCGGCAGGTTTCTGAGGTTCCACTTAAGATAATGCTTTTAAGTTTCAAAAATGCTGATGTGTAGTTATAATATTTATAACTCAGCAAGTTACTGGTTTTGCTGTTCTGTTGTTCAAGTAGTTTGGAAACTAATAAATTACTGTTTTAGTATTCCCATGTTTCTTCAATCTGTTTTTCTGATAAATTTCCTTAATAATTATCTTATCATTTAAGTAAAGTAACATTTTTAGAGCAGTTTATGACACCAACGATAAATTTCTTGTAGAAATTTACTTAATTCATAGCTATATTTTTATTACATGAAATAGCTTTCCTCTTGGTCCAAAATTTCTATTAATTTTGACATATTGTCCCATCAGAAGTTGAGGAAAAGTGTCATCTATTCGGAAGTCATTAGTGGAGACATTGCACTTAGAATGTGCAAGTTGGGATGAGAATAGAAATTGGATGTCTCTGTAAGTTATGGTTTAAAATATTTTCAGAGATTTAATAGTTTTGCCACTTTGAGAATAGTTGATAGATTTACATTAGAGTGGCTCTGGGAATTTAAAAGTTTTAATAAATACACTTGCTATATTAAATTAAAAAACCATATATGTAGATGACTTGTTTATTTTGTGTTCATGTCTTTAAATTGGTGATGACTGTATGTGTTTCCTTGTATCTAAAGATATCTATATATATATCTTATGGTGGAATGTATATATCAGCATTAATAATTCTCAGAATTTTTCAATGTGAGAGAATATTTTGGCATGATAAATATTTGAATCAAATTTTGCAGCCCATTTACATAATTTTCCTTGAAGGTACTAATCATTTTAATCAGTTGATTATGGAAAGTTTTAAAACAGTTTTTCAGATTTGGGTTCAATATGTCATCACACATTAATTGTTTCTTTTTGGTAGTTTTGGTTTTATTAAACATTTTTAACCCTTAGACTGTCCTTTACATGTGTTCTGGGTTTGATTTCTAACCCTGAGACAGTTCTGTATATGTATTCTGGGTTTGTGTTACAGTAGGTTTAAACAAATCTTTTAAATTACTTTATTTCTATGTTTCTTTTTTTAGGGGCTTCCAAAAGGTCAGAGTTTACATTTGGCAGGACATAGTGATGAACAACCTACATTTTCCACTGGGCGTGCCCAGTATCTTCAGGCAGCTAACGCTGGTATTCAGAAACTGACTGGACATCGAACCCTGCCTAGCAATTTAGTAATACAGGGTGCTCTTCTCAATCACCTTTCTTCTCAGATTGCTACCTCAGGTGGACAACAAGACATTATCTTTACCAAAGAGAACAAACCTTCAGGAAATATATCTTTGGTGCCTGAAACAAACAGGCATGCTGGAGACACACCTAATGGTGGTGCTAATGTGAAGGGGCTTTCTTATGATGTTGAGCAGTTGATGGCAGAACCTGTTTGCAGTTTTAACCATGGAGATTGCTCATCACCAAATTTAATAATTTCAGACAATCCTCAGATCTCTGCCTTGCTAATTGGAAAAGCTAATGACAGTGTGGGGCCTGGAGCCTGTAACATAGTCAGTAATATTCCCCCAGCTATTTATACAAAGACTAATAACTCTGGTGCCTCTTCACCCTTTTCAGCCATTTGCACCTCAACATCTTCTCCAAAATCCACTGAACAGACAACCATATACAGTTTTACCAACCTTAACAGTCCTCATAGTATGTTAAACAGAATTAATGGAGAAGGGCTAGAGGACTCACAGAGCTCTAAAAAAACAGACTTGTCTATAATTAGACGCCAGCCTGGTCCTCAAATCATACCATCGATGTCTGTGTCCATATATCCAAGTTCCACAGAAGTTCTGAAAACATGCAGGTTAGTACAGGAAAGCTTGTCAGTGAAAATGGTTACCTGTCCTGATAAGGAAACTGGAGTAGTATTTTGGTTTTTCAAGAAATGGAAATTTTGTAAGATGTGACACAGTCACTTACCTAAAAAAATTTTTTTCTCAATATTTTGGTTATATGTTAGTGTTACAGATAATGAAAAGCATTTTTTTCCCACCTGCTTTATTTGTGAAACATGTCTCTAGTGTTACTTACTTCCACCAGTGATCAGAATTTCAGCTACTCTGTGATAGACCTGTCCTTATTTTGTGGATGGAAACCAAAGAATATATCAAATCACATTTGGTAGAAAACAACAAAGTGTGGAAAACCTGTTCTATTATTTTTTTCTTTCTGCTACCATTTTATGTGACTCTGGAAGAAATTATAAAGTTGATAGGAGAACAAGAGGAAAGGTAGAAAGCATGAGAAATGTAACAGCCATCTTCTGCTATTTTTAGAAGAAAGTGCCTCAGAAATTAATTTATCCTAAATGGTTTCTTTACCTTTCCACAATAAAAAACAATCACATAATGAGGAACACTTCCTTTGATAGTGTGACACTTCAAGTAGATTTCCCCATTCTTCACATCCTAATCCATTTTAAAAAAAAGCTACACTGAGACATAATTCATGTACTTTATTCACTCATTTATTAAAACATGCAACTCAATCTGTATGTTTTAATATATTCCTAGATATCAAATGGTGCATGTACCATCAAATTCAACTTTGCAGAATTTTTATCACCTCAGAAAGAAACCCATCAAAAGAACTTTCTAAAGTTCTGTTTTTGCTTTGTTAAACACATTGAAGTCTAATCTTAAATAATAAATTGTCTTAATTCTCACACCTACAGATGTCCTGTGTAAGAGAACAATATTTGAAGTCAGTTAAAATGCCATGGGTAAATATACAGAATCTTTCTGTAATATTTTCCACTATATAGCATCTGAAATTTGAGCAATAATGTTGAATTTTTAAAAGGTCTTTATAACTTGAGGTGAAAATGAAGTAAAATAGAAACTAAATGTTGTATAAGTAGGCAATCGGAAGATTTTGATCTACCTTGACATTTACCTTAAAAAGGGTTTGAATTTTAAAGGTGAAAACAATAATGCTTAATGACTATATAAGAAGTCTGTACCTGAAACTGGAATTTTATGTTTCCAGTCTATTGCTGTACATAAAATTGTTTAGATTTTGAGGCAGTTAGATTTTTTTATTAGAAGGCATCATTATTCAGCCATTAAATGTATGTTACTGACAGAATACTAAGATGAGACAGATTTTTATGCAGTTGTATTTGCAGTGGCCTGGGATAGAGTAATAGTAATGGAAGAAATTTAAATGTTCTGTGAGTTACAAAGAAGTGAAATTGATATCTTTCATATTTCTAGTGGATTAAAGATTTTAATCTTCCCATCTCATTTTGAAATGTAAATGTTCATGTTATGGTAAAGTACATCCTTAGAGATTTATTTTTGCCTTGGAAACTACTGAAAGGATGTTTGCTATACTGCATATGTGTAATTTTATTTTTAAGGATTGCTGATATCTTTTTTCTCCCCCACTCCCTTACCTACTATGTGATCTGTTCTGGAGAACATTAGATGTGTACTTGAGAAAATTGTGCATCCTGCTGCTTTTGGGTAGAGTGTTCTGTAGATATCTGTTAAATCCATTGATCTAACGTATTGCTCAGTGCCTCTGTTTCCTTATTTTCTATCTGGTTAATCTGTCTATTGATGTGAGTGGTGTGTTCAGGTCTCCCAAGAATAATGTGTTTCAGTCTATTTTCCCCTTTAATTGTGTTTGTATTTGTTTTATCTGTTTAGGTACTCCTATACTGGATGCATAGATGCTGATTGGGTCCTCTTGTTGGACTGACCCCTTTAGCATAATATAGTGTCCTTTGTTGTCTGTTCTTTCTTTGTTTTGAAATCAATTTTGTCTGATGAAAGCACTGCTACTCCTGCATTTTTCTCCCTGTAATTTGCATGAAATATCTTTTTCCATCCCTTCACTTTTAATTTGTGTGTCTTTGAAGATTACAGGTGTCTTTAAAATACCATAGATTCCTGTGACTCTATGGATTTTGTAGTTAATAAAGCTGTCAGTTTACTACTGAAGGCATATTAACCCTATCCATAAATGGAAAGGGAAAAAGAATAGAAACAAATGGACAATACAGAGAAAAACAGTACAGTTTCTAAAAGTAAGGATAAAAGCATTCTGAGGTTAGGAAAGTAGCCAGAATGGCAAATGGTAATTGTTATGTGGAGAACAATTCTTTTACTTGATCTGGATAGAACTTGAAATTCATGTTAGCACAAAGAAACATTGGTATGAAACTTAATCTCTCCCTGGTTAAGAAATTTCTTTAGGAAGGAAACCTAAATTTCATCTATATAACACCTCTTTTTTTCTTCTAAATGACATGTTCGAAAGGAAAGCAATAAAATCTATTTTTTAAGTATTCTTACAAAGTAACAAATTTGTTGAGTAAAAAGTCAGCTAAGATTAGAGAAGAGGATTCAGAATGAGATTAAATTCTTAATCTTTCTCCCATCTACTTTTTTTTCAACATTATTCCTTGCCCATATAGTATTGTATTGTTATGGAAACATGTCAATTTACAATATGGTATATTTCTGTTGTCCACAGCCCTGTACTCTTCATTAGGGCTGAAATAATGTATTTTAATGAAAAAAAACTATGGTTCCTTCCTTGTCAAAATTGTTACCTTATTTCTTTAAGATATGTTCCTGTAAATTCTGACTTAACCATCATAGGAGATACATATTAAGGAATTTCTAGATAAAATTTCATTGTACCAGTTTTTCTGTTTTCTTTTATATTTACATTTCTCATGTTTTTTACGTGATGGTTATTTCCAAAGTTTTATTTTTGTTTCATCTTTGTTGTAGTTTTAGCATCTTTGCTTTTTCTAAGATATCAAATTTTAATGTTAACATTCAGGTGCTACAATTAATTTGGCTGCCTAGGTCGTGCCTAATCTTTCTCTTTTCAAATGTAGATATTGATACTTTCCATAAATAGCTTGACTTTTCCATAAATAGAAATTATAGAGGCAGAATTCTGCTAACTCCCCTGTTGCCTAATTTCATTTTTCATATTGAGGTCTTTAAACAAGCTTAAATTTTGCACATTAAATTTGCTTTAAGCACTTTTCAAAATAATTATAAATTTGATCTCATGTTACACTAATATGTTATTTGTTATCTTAATATATAATTTATATTATAATGTACCATAAATTGTAGCACATCCCTTTTAGGGGAAAAAGATTTTCATGATCAGACTGAAGCATATTTTGTGTAAAGTATCAAAAGTGGCAGATATATAATTCAGTATTGAAAACAATTCTTTATTATGTAGAAATTATAATTCACTTTTTGCTTTGGCCTAAGGAGGGTCCTTGAATTTTCCTTTCATCAAAAAAGGCTTTAATATCACTTGTTAAAAACAAATGTTTTGTTAAATTCATAAATTAAAGTGAATTCTCTATTGTTTGAAGAGTTAAAACATACCATATTTAACTATAAACAACTGGGTAGTCACAGATATTGAAACTGAAATATTGTTTTAGCATTTAACTTTGATTCTTAAGTGTCAAAGTGGAATTTAACATATATTTGCATATCCTTTTATTTAGAAAATAGAGAAGTCAACAATTTTAAGCCTATTTCGTAATTGTAAACTGCATCATAGTACCTGTGTTGTCGTATGCTTTAGTGACTGTCTCATACAACATCTCAAAAATGTCATCTGCATTTTAAGCCTTAGTTTACATTAGTCATACCAAAAAAGATTGATTGTAAAAGAAAGTTTTCCTTCTCTTAGCAAAAATTAAAGAAGGTAATGACAGTTTTGCTTTCAACTTACATAATTTGAAATTTAAAAGCACCTGACTTGTAATGAGTAAATGCAGGCAAACTGATGTTGATTTTACTCTTGGAAATAGTTTTCAGATTTAATCTGAAATTTCAATATTTTAACAGCTCTTTTCCTCATTTTTTTAATATATTATTTTTGAGTTTTAATAAAACCATAGAGTAAGACAATCTGAGAGATTTCTCAGTAGTAACAGTTTCCTGTATCTTTTTTTCTGAGTTCGTTAATATTTTAAGGCTTTAGAAATAATCCTTATACTAGAAAAACAGTTTCAGTTTGGGAGTAATTTTGCTACATCTTAAGAATTTATATCTTAGCAAATATGACAGTTTTCATTAAAGGAAAAAGTCCATTACTATTAAGTAATAATTACGTACAATGTGAGAATGAATTACAACCACATTACATCAGTTTTTAAGTTACTGTAGGCTATAACTTAGTAAGGTGGAGTCTTGCTGAATATCACTCAAGGAGTTGTAGAAAATCATTCTAGAAAATAGAAAACAAATGTTCTGGTTCTTTTATTTGAAAGTTGTCACAAAAGCAAATGTTTAAATTATAAAGTTTTATACCTAAATCTTTTTTGCCTTAATTACTTGTTTTAAGATTAAATATAATCTAAGAATGAACCATATTGAGAAAAATTGGAGTTTATATAATTCTCGTGAGAAAGTAAATTAGAAGATGATGAGAAAAGTAGCTAGTGATAATTTGCATTTTGTAGATACAGAGTATATTTTGTTTAGTTTTCCTTTGCTGATACAATAAGTCAAAGTGAGAATCTGCTGAAGTTAGCGGTTGCTGATTTGTTGACTGAGTGGGTACCAATATCTTAGAAAAATTTTATATGTATAGGCCCTCTACTTAAACAATTGAAAGTATTCTTTTTTATCTTGTATTTCCAAAATTAATGTATAGCTGATACATTTCCTCTAATTATGTTACAGGAATCTGAGTAAAAATGGCTTGTCTAATAGTCAAATTTTGTTGGATAAATGTCCACCTCCAAGACCACCAACTTCACCATATCCTCCTTTGCCAAAGGACAAGTTGAATCCACCTACACCTAGTATTTATGTGAGTTGTACTGACTAAGTAGAAATACATGAAGTATTATGAACTTAACCTGTCTTTTCAAGATAATATTTTAAAAATGAATGCATATGTCTTTTAGGGAAAATTAAAATGTTTCTCACAGGTTGAAACTCTGGAAAAATGTATTTTTATCCCAGATAATGACAGCTGACATCTCTCAGTCTAATATAGTCCACTACATTTTTTTTTTCACTACATGTTTTTGTACATTAAGTTTTATTGTTACAGAGCATGCTCATGTGTTTGCATGCTGTTTCTTAATTGTCTTGCACTAGATTGGCAGAGAGAAATAACTAAAAAAACATACTTCATTGAAACAAAAATACTGTCCTCTTGTAGAAAAAGTTTGGTGTATTTAGATTTTGTTGAAGATAATGTTTAAGCTTTAAGTGTATTATCACATGGACTGGGAATACACAGGGGTAGCAGAAGATAATTGGTTTTGTGTCAGTTTTTTGTCAATTTACTTCTAAGTCCACCTTATGCCTCTTGGTAGTTGTATGAACCTTGAAATTCATTTGATTTTATGTTTTTCTAAATTTTTTGTGTCTTTTAAAAAAATCATTGAGAATATGAAAGTGATGAGTGCATGTGACTAAAAGAGGTTAAATAAGGATAAGTAGGTATTTTTAAACGTCAGGTTGAAGCTGTTCTGCTTTTTTAACTTCAGAAATTTAAGTCTTTGATATTGGAAATTAGTATGAGCTAAGTCAGAATAATTTTCTCCCCAAGAATTTCTACCATCTTCCTTTACCATCCAAAGATACAAGTAAGAAACTTCCCTAAGCTAAAACATAAATATCAAGTATTTAGAATAATTTTATAAAGGAGAATATTGAATATTCATCCCATTTTTTCCAGAATGTTATACTGCTCCTTTACTAAGTAAAAATTTATTTCATATTGTTACAGGAAAGTTCTGAAATAAAGATGAAAATAAACTTTTTACACTTAACTTTGAAGTTACAACTATAAAATGAAGATTTATCTTTAGTGGGTCTTACTGAATCATATTTTTTTATTTTAGTTTTACAACACTTTGATCTTGAAGTCTGTTTCACTTCTCCCACATCTTTAATGCAAGAAAGTATGGAGGTACACGAGAAAGTACACTAGTAGTAGGATTAAAGTAATACTTCTATCTAGTAAAACAATTAAATACCATTTCATCAATCTTAGCATCTCATAAGAAGTTGGTAACATCATTTCAAAATTAATCATACTTAAAATTTTGAAAAGAAATTTATTTAGTTATTAACTCAACCATGTGCTGAAAAGACTAATGATAAAATATTGCGATATGCAGCAATGCAGCACTAATGATTAAGTTATATCATACATGTAAAAATTCCTGACTGATGAAAAAGTGAGTATGAACTTTCAATATAATATTCAGTTTTTTAATGAAATCTAACAAAACATTTTAATTTTACAGTTGGAAAATAAACGTGATGCTTTCTTTCCTCCATTACATCAATTTTGCACAAATCCAAAACACCCTGTTACAGTAATACGTGGCCTTGCTGGAGCTCTTAAATTAGGTAAGGTTTAAAAAGAAGTTTGAATATTTCTTTTACTGTCTTTAATATTTTTAAATACTGATAGAAAGCCATTGGATTTGGGGGGGATTTTTCTCGCTTTGGTGTTTTTTTTTGAAATTTTATTTTAATGTTCTTTCTGCCCTTTATCTCAGCACATCTTTAATACATGGTGCCAGTACTGACTATTCACAAACTTAGGGTGGATCTTTATTTAGTTTTTAATTTGGTATCCCAATGCAACAGTAGTGATATAGGTTAGATAATAGAGGACCTTTTGAGTATAAAACATAGGGAAAGTAGATCATACTTGTATATACTCCATACTCTACTACATCATAATGGTTAACTCAGTACTTCGAGGGACTCCTGTGTAAATCTGATAACCACATGGCTTAAAGCAGTCTTCAGGGTACAGATGGGGCTTCATAAAGTTCTTTTTAAAGTATTTTTGAAACATTTATTGTATGAAATAGTTTTATTTTTTAACACAATGTATTTATTTATGAAGATCTTGGGCTTTTCTCTACCAAAACATTGGTAGAAGCTAATAATGAACATACAGTAGAGGTGAGGACACAGTTGTTGCAACCAGCAGATGAAAACTGGGATCCTACTGGAACAAAGAAAATCTGGCGTTGTGAAAATAATAGATCTCATACTACAATTGCCAAGTATGCACAGTACCAGGCCTCCTCTTTCCAAGAATCATTAAGAGTAAGTATTTGTTTCATAGAGGTTATTTGATAGATATATATTATCTTTATAACAGTCTGTTCACATAACTATGATTATAAATACTTTAATTTACAAATTATTAAACAAATATTTAAACAAAATTATAGTTGATAAAGTACATGCTAATATGTAAAATATCATGTAATATGAAAAATTGAATTATCTTGTAAAGTAACCCAGTATTTTTGAAATGTGTATATCTAGAATAGTTGCAGAATGATACTCTTATGAAGAAAATTATCTGTATGACACAGGTTCATTTGGTCACTGAAAACCTGTTTTCTGTTTTATTTTAAAAGAAAACTAGCTCTTTTGGAAGCAAGTAGTCTTCCTATGTCAATTATAGTTTCTGCAGAAAATTATAGTAGAATCAAAAATTTATAAAAAGTCACAAAATATGTGGAAAGGAAAAAAATTTAAATCCACAGAATGATTACTAAAAAAAAGACTCATTGGGAATCAGCAATAGAATTCCCTAGTAGTTAACATGAGCTCTTTCAGAAAATAACAGTAATAGAAGTGAGATCACTAAATCCTCAAATACTGTTTCTCATGTCTCTTAAAATTTAAATTGTGAATTTGAACTGAGTACATTACATAACTTCAGTTCTCTTTAAAAGTAATGTTGCAGATAGATTTTTCTTGAGCCATATTTCTTTTTTTTCTAAATTAAAGTATCATTGATAGGCAATCTTACACTTTCATAAAAAAAACTGGTTTCTACATTATCAAGTCATCCCCCCTTTGCTGTGGTCACTGTCTGTCTGCATAGTAAGATGTTGTGTAGTCATTACTTGTCTTTTTCATGTTGTACTGCCTTCCGTGTGACCTGCCTATGTTCTGATTGTTAATTATAGTGCCCTTTATCTCCTTCTCCCTCCCTACTCACCATTCCCAACCCCTCTCCGTTGATAACGACTGGTCCCTTTGTGGTGTCCGTGTTTCTGCTATTTTGTTCCTTCAGTTTTCCTTTGTTTTTATACTTCACAAATGAGGGAAATAATCTGGTACTTGTCTTTCTCTGCCTCGCTTATTTTACTGAGCATAATACCCTCTAGCTCCATCCATGTTGTTGCAAATGGTAGGGTTTGTTTTCCCCTTATAGCTGAATAATATTCCATTGTGTATATGTACCAATCTTCTTTATCCATTCATCTGCTGATGGAGACTTTGGTTGCTTCCATGTCTTGGCTGTTCTAAATAGTGCTGCAATAAACAAATGGGTGATAATGTCTTTTTGAATCTGCAATCTTGTTTTCTTTGGGTATATTCCTAGGAGGGAATTCCTGGGTCAAAGGGTATTTCCATTTTGAGTTTTTTGAGGAACCTCTATATTGCTTTCCACAATGGTTGTGCTAGCTTACATTCCCACCAGCAGTGTAGGAGGGTTCCCCTTTCTCCATATCCTCACCAGCATTTGTTGTTCTTAGCCTTTTGGATGTTGGCCATCCTAACTGGTGTGAGATGATATCTCATTCTGGTTTTAATTTGCATTTCCCTGATAGTTAGCTATGTGGAGCATCTTTTCATGTGCCTCTTGTCCATCTGAATTTCTTCTTCAGAGAAGTGTCTGTTCAGGGCCTCTTCCCATTTTTTAGTCGAGATAGTTGCTTTTTAAGTGTTGGGGCATGTGAGCTCTTTACATATTTTGGGTGTTAACCCCTTAGTGAATATGCCATTTACAAATATATTATCCCATACTGCAGGATGTCTTTTTGTTCTGGGATGGTGTCCTTTGCTATACATACTATACATAACCTTTTTAGTTTGATGTAGTCCCATTTGTTCATTGTTGCTTTGTTTCCCTTGACCAAGGACATGTGCTCAGGAAAAAGTTCTAATGTTTATATTCAAGAGATTTTTGCCTATGTTTCTTGTAACCATTTTATGATTTCATTTTACTCTCTTCTTTGTATGGTTTTGGAAGACAAGTTGGGGGTTAATTCTTACATTTGACCAATGTAAGTCATGTTTTTTTTCATTTCCTGTTTTCATAATTTATTCTTTAACTTTGATTTTCTGATGTTTGAACAATAAATGCCTAGGTTTAGATTTTTGGCAGTTATACTGCTCGGTTTTACTCTTAATTATTCATTTTCTATGGTTTAATGGCTGTCTTTAATTTTAAAAAATTCTGAGTAATTATTTCTGACCAAACTTTTCTTTTGTTCATTTCTTTTTTTCTTCTTTTGTTTTGCCAGTTCCAATATGTTACTCTTTTTGTAGTTTCCCCACAGTCTTTGGATATTCCGTTTTGGGTTTGTCTTTGTTTTTCACTCTTTTTTCCTTACTCTTCAGATTTTTAAGTTTGAGATATCCTCAAATTCAGAAATTCCTTTCTCAGATATTCTACCAATAAACCCATAGAAAGCATTTTCATTTCTGTTAATATTTTTTATCTCTAGTATGTTTCTTGTGTGGGATTTTGTGGTTCTTCATAAAAATTTCCATGTGCCTGCCTGTATTGCCCCTCTGCTGTATTACACTTTCTGCTTTGTCAGTCAGAATCTTTGGCATGTTAACTTCACTTGTTCTAAATTCCTCATCTGATGATGTCAGCATCTGTGCCAATGTGAGACTAGGCAGATGCTTGCTTTGCTCTTCAAACTTGTTTTCTGCCTTTTCCTAAACTTGTAACTTTTTATTCAAAGATGTTCATGTTTGACTGAGTAGAGGAAACTACTTTAAACAGGCTTTAGTGATGTGTTTGGAAAACAAAGGGGTAAGGGAGGTATTCTGTAATCCTATGATTAGTTGGGTCTCTGTCATTCAATGAACCTGTATCTCTCTACTGAACTTAATAATGCTTCATTGCTAGTGTATTTACCTGCTTAAAGTGGGACAAGAAGTGTTAAGAGTGGGCTGGAATTCGGTATTGCCTTTCTCCTTGTAGTTATATCCTGATTAAATCCCAGAGGGATGGACTCTTGTTTAGTAGTTTCCTTTTAAGGCAAGTGTTAAAAATAACTAAATACTCCTGGGCATTTCAAAATGGCACCTTTTTACATCCTCCTGTCATAATTAGAGGGTGTCATTCTCTATATTTTCTATGAGGACCTACCTGGTCAAACTTGCAGGTGAAACTGACAGTATTAATGGAAGGCCTTCAGTTAGTGTGTCCACTGGAGATTTTAAATTAAACATGCCCACACTAAGTCTCTGAAACACTGTCAGTTACAGTTCACAGTTTACTACATGTCAGCATTGGTTTCCAGGTTTTTGCTCTCATTGTGATTTTTGTTACTCAACTTGATAAAAGTTTGAAGATAGCAGTTTGCCCTCCCTCCATTACTAATCCAGAATTGTTGATTTTTCAGTTTGTTCAATTTGTAGTATTTCTGTGGACAAAGAAGCTACTTCTGATGTTCGTATATGCCCAACTTAAGTCCCTTGTCAGTTACTTAACTTGCAAATATTTTCCTTGTTCTGACAACTGTTCCTATTTTTCGTTGGTGTCCTTTGAAGCACAAATTTTCTTAATTTTGATGAATTACACCTTTTGTTTCAATATTTTTAACTTTGGTGCCATAGAATTCATTGCCCAAACTATGATTGTGCCAATTTATTTGAATGTTTTATGTCTTTTTTTTTTGTATCACTAATCTAAAATTACATGAGCAACATTATGGTTACTAGATTCCCCCCACCATCAAGTCCCCACCACATACCCCATTACAGTCACTGTCCATGAGTGTAGTAAGATGCTGTAGAATCACTACTTGTCTTCTCTGTGTTGTACAGCCCTCCCCAGGAGCCCTCAACCCCACATAATGTCTACTAATAGTAATGCCCCTCTCTCCCTTATCCCTCCCTTCCCACCCATCCTCCCCAGTCCCTTTCGCTTTGGTAACTGTTGGTCCATTCTTGGGTTCTGTGATTCTGCTGCTGTTTTGTTCCTTCAGTTTTTTCTTTGTTCGTCTACTCCACATATGAGTGAAATCATTTGGTATTTGTGTTTCTCTGCCTGGCTTATTTCACAGAGCATAATCCCCTCTAGCCCCATCCATATTGTTGCAAATGGTAGGATTTATTTTTCTTCTTATTGCTGAATAATAATCCATTGTTTATATGTACTACATCTTCTTTATCCATTCATCTACTAATGGAGACTTAGGTTGCTTCCTTTTCTTGACCATTGTAAATAGTGCTGTGATAAACATAGGGGAGCATCTGTTTTTTTCAAAGTAGGCTGCTGCATTCTTAGGGTAAATTCCTAGAAGTGCAATTCTTGGATCAAATGGTATTTCTCTTTTTTGAGCTTTTTAAGGAACCTCCATACTGCTTTCCACAGTGGTTGAACTTCTTTCATTTCCACCAGCAGTGTAGGAAGGTTCCCATTTCTCCACAGCATTGTCAACATTTGCTGTTGTCTGTCTTTTTGATTGTGGTGATCCTTACTGGTGTGAGGTGATATCTCATTGTGGTTTTAATATGCATTTCTCTGATGACTAGCAATGGGAGGATCTTTTCATGTGTCTGTTGGCCATCTGCATTTCTTCTTTAGAGAACTATTCAGCTCCTTTGCCCATTTTTTAATTGGATTGTTTGTTTTTTGTTTGCTTAGATGCATGAGTTCTTCATATATTTTGGATGTCAACCCTTTATTGAATCTGTCATTGATGAATATATTTTCCTATACTGTAGGATATCTTTTTGTTCTATTGATGGTGTCCTTTGCTGTACAGAAGCTTTTCAGCTTGATATAGTCCCACTTGTTTATTTTTGCTTTTGTTTCCCTTGCCCAGGGAGATATGTTCATGAAGAAGTGGCTCATGTTTATGTCCAAGAGATTTTTGCCTATTTTTTTTCTTAAGAGTTTTATGGTTTCATGACTTTACATTCAGGTCTTTGATCCATTTCGAATTTACTTTTGTGTGTGGGGTTACATTTTCACTCTTTTACATGTAGCTGTCCAGTTTTGCCAGCTCCATCTGTTGAAGAGACTGTCATTTCCTCATTGTATGTCCATGGCTCTTTTA